GGGGTGCACGTACCCCTTCGGATCCCTACATTTGTATCTTTGTGGTAAATACCCAGTAGTGCAATTGCTGGATCATATGGTAGCTCTATTTTCAACTGTTTGAGGAACCTCCATACTGTTTTCCAGAGCGGTTGCACCAGCTTGCATTCCCATAAGTGGCATTTTTTAAAAAAAATCATTTTAAAACTTACTTTTAGGCACTAATTTTCTTTTCTATTTCCTATTTTAATTTAAACAGTTACGACAATTCTGTATTGTTATCCTTTCCTTTGTCATAAAATTCATTTATACATTCCTTCAGTTTAAAAACATTTCTCCTCTCTGTTCCACCTGTATTAGTTTTATATGGCTGTTATAACAAACTAATGCTCCCTCTTTGTCTTGTGGCTTTCGGGAAGACCTGGCCTCATGCCTCTTTACTTCAGAAGCATGGTCCAATGTGCTGCTGCTTCTTCATAAAGGGATTTGTCTCTGTAAGAGACACCCTAGGGCAATGCTTGCTTTCTTATCTCAACCTTGGACTCCCATGTGGCCTCACTGTTGCTCAGGAGGAATACAAGCCCCCAGAAGATGAAAGCTGTGGTAACTCTGACTGGGCCTTGCAGAATAATCCTGAAGTATTTGGAAAGCAGTGATTTTCCTGAAGACCTATGGTCAGTCCTTAAAAATGTTCCACATGCTTTTGAAAAGAATGTATATTCTTCAGTTGGTGGGTTCACTACTCTAGATATGTCACCCAGGACAAGTGTCTTAATCATGTTCAAATGTGGTGTGTTTTTGCTGATTATTTGCTTGTTCCACCAGTGATTGAGAGACGTGGGTTAAAATGTTCAACTGTGATTGTGCATTTGCTTATTTCTCCTCTTAGCTCCTCCAGTGCTACCCTTCTTAAGTAAAAATTTAACTTGAAAATGCTTTTAGATTAACAGAATTATTGTGAAGAGAGTACAGAGTTCTCATATACTCCACACCCAGTTACCCCTATTATTAGCATCTTTCATTAGAATGGTATGTTTGTAACAATTAATGAACCAATATTGACACATTATTAACTAGAGTCCATACTTATTCAGATGTCCTCAGTATTTTCCCTAAGGTTCTTTTTCTGTTCCAGGATCCCATCTAGGATATGACATTACATTTAGTCATCATGTCTTCTTAGGCTTGTCCTAGTAGCGACAGTTTCTCAGACTTTCCTTGGTTTGATGACTTTGACAGTGTTAAGGATTATTGGTCAGGTATTTTGTAGAATGTCCCTCTATTGGGAATTATCTGATTTTTTTTCATGATTAGATGAGGGTAATGTATTTTGAGGGAGAAAACCACAGAGGTAAAATACTATTCTCATAGTAAGGGTGAAGACTTAAGTATGGCTTATCATGGTTGACATTCATTAAACTTGATCGGCCAGCTTGAAGTAATATTTGTCAGGCTTCCCCACTTTTCACTTTCTATATTCAATGGAAGAAAGTCACTATGCACAGCTCTCACTTAAGTGGTAGTGAGTTGTGCTCCACCTCTTTGAGTACAATGTAGCTACATGAATTATGAAAATGTTTTGCATGGGAGATGTGTCCTTTGTCCCTCATTAATGAATTTATTCAATCACTTATTTATAACACTATGGCTTGTGGTTATTTTATACTTTGGGCTATAATCCAATACTACTTTATTTTGTTGCTCAAATTTTCCAGCTTTAGTCATTGGGAGCTCTTTCAGATGGTTCCATCTTTGTTTTTTTATTTGTTTTGTTTTGTTGGACACTTTCTTACTTTCTGGCACTATAAGATACTCCAAACTCATCTTGTATATCTCTTGCTCCAGTCTGAGAATCAGCATTTCTCCAAGAAACTCTGATCCCATTACTGGAGAATAGTACCGGAAACTAAACTTTGGGTACTCGGTGTGCTTGCTCTCCCAAAGTATTGCTCCTCTCAGCTGATGTCCCATGCTGATATGGGCTGCACATAGGACTTTCCTCCAAACAGTAAGGAAGTACATGTGTGCATACTAATCTATGTATATACACAAACCAATAAATGTTTCTTTACATAACCATCTATATTTATATTAATATATAATGCATGAGTTCATGCTGTTGTATTCAATTCTAATCCATTACCACGTGGATCATTCTCACCTCTTAGTTTTGCTTTTCCAAAATATCATATAGTTGAATATGCAATATGTGATTGTCCGACCAGCTTCTTTCAGTTAGGGCTAGGGAGCTAAGATTCATCCATGTCTCTACTTAAAAAAAGAAAGGGCGGGGGCGGCTCCTGGCTGGCTCAGTCAATGGAGCATCCGACTCTTGATCTCGGGGTCATGAGCTGGGCCCCCACACTGGGCATTGGAGCCTACCCACTTAAAAAAAAAAAAATCCATCCATGTTTTTTTGTGGCTTAATACCTCATTTCCTTTTATTGCTGAATAATATTACACTGTATATATGTGACACAGTTGTTTGTTTGTTTGTTTTCAATTTATTCACCTGTTGAAGGACATTTTGTTTCCTTCCACTTTGGGGCAATTATGAATAAAGTGGCATTAACATTCATGTGCAGGTTTTTTTGCAGACATAAGTTTGCAAATCAGTTAGGTAAATATCTAGGAACATGCTGCGAGATCACCAGTAAGACTATGTTTAGTTTTGTAATTTTTTTTTAATGAAGTTTCCTGTTTGTTTCCTTCAAACACAAATGGCTTGTTTCCCTGCTGATTGTTTCCCTCACCAGACTATACGCTCCATGAAGACAAGGGCTGTGTATATGCTCCCAACACTGATGTAGCCCCGGCACCCATCCTAAAAGACCTTACATATAGTAGGATCTTAATAAATATATGATGAATGGATGAATGAATGAATGAATGATTTAATAAATAAACAAAGCATCAAGACTTAGAACTTTATACTGAGCCATATCCCTGTCTGAGAAATTCCAAAGTGCAACTCTTTTTTTTGATTGATGTACAGTTGATACACAATGTTACATTAGTTGCAGATGTCAAAATGTAGCTCTTATTTTAACTTTGGCAGATAAGTGGGATTGATAGACAGTCTAAGCTCTGTACCACACTCATCTCCCAGTGCGGGATCTTTCTTTTTGCATGCTGGTAAATTTTACATATTTGCTGTTAAAACTGACTCAGAACCAAATGATTAAGACTTTTCCCAAATTTCTTCTTTTCACTCTATGGGTATTCAATGTATGTGGTGAATAGGTAAGGTGAATAAAAGGTATTGTGTTTTGTACACCTTGATGTTTTCCCGACTTAACACATTTTAAATAATCGGTCGTTTTATATTTTATTCAATAATCCCCCTTTGGACCATTTTGGTTTTATAGCAGTGTAAAAATGTCTGCTTATAGCTTTACAAAATTTCAATCAGTTTTCGCCCAGAACTTAAGACATTTGCCTTGGGGCTAAAATTAACCAAGACAAAGATTAAAAACAAAAGCAAATTTAGAATACAATCAGTGTTTTCAAAATGAGCTAAATCTGCCCTTCATCTTCATTTATAACGCTGACTGGCTTCTTAACCTATAATAGAATAAGCTGTAGTTGTGCCAAGATTATATTTACTTTTCTGAGGTCCCAAAAAACAGACAGATCTCGCAAGCTTTGGGTCTCCTATGGTTTGCAATGTCACAAGGGGCATTGGTTGGAAGGATGCACCTAATGATCACAATCTAAATAGGACACAAATTTATATTTCTGGACATTTTCACCAGATGTCATATTTCTGCACTTTTTTTTAGTGATTAAACATTTTTTTCTACTCTGGTGAGTGGATCTGTTTGGATACCAGATTTCAAACACTATTTTCAGGGAGGACCCTGGCAGCGCTTAAAGATTCCCCCTAATTGGCCAAAATGTACTTCAAAATTCATGGAATTTGCAAAGGGATTTCCAAAATTAACTGAAGTGTCAACATACTTGAGAGCCATTAAAAATGCAGAGACTATAGTTTGTTGGAATAAACTAGACAAGGCATCCAATAGAAAAGTCATTCTGAGATATTTCAGCTTTAAGCACCGTTTTGATGATTTGGAAAGACCTGGAAGGCAATATAATTAATAATTATTAGGGCATTATTTGAGTTATTACTCACATCTCAAGTTGGAGCCAAAAATCCAATTGATTTTCAAATAAATTTCCAGAATTTGGACAAAGATATTAGACAATTAATATCCAGAGGGACATATTTCATAACAGGTCCTCATATTTTTCCACATTTCTACTTACGCTTTCACTGAGCTATTTGTGGTTCTCTGATAATGCTTGGGATTAAACACTTCTTTGCCTTTGTGCATATTCTCTAGTCCATGCACTGTGCTTTTCCTTTCCCCACCTAAGCCAGCTCAGAGGAAACCTGCTTTACTGAATCTTTCCAGAAACACAATACACCACCCCCCTCCCCGCCACAGACACTGATAAAATCTCCTTCGTTTGCGACTACTTATTTCTATAGTTTCAGTTACCATACTAAACGAATTAATTTTTTTCTGTGGGCCTATTAGAAGACTTAGCTTAAAGTGAACACCCAGAAAATGTCCTTCAGGCCCTCACCGCTTGCCTTTACTGATAGACAACACAAGGTGGGGAAAGAGGAGGATTTAGTCCACTTTCTTCCGGCTCTGAGGGAATTTTTCAACTTCTGAAAGTGGAAAAACTAGACCAGAAACAAAGAGAAATTCTAAGGAGCACCTCTTTGCCGAGCAGACAATACAAAATACCTACAATTTAATCAAATACTCACATTTTTATCTTTAGAAGAGTAGGTAGTTATATATAATGTTAGGACTAAAAGAGAATATAATCATAATTTCAGCTGGTAACTGACATTTAGCTCTTCTTCCCACTGACATTTACACAGGAAAATATACAGAGTTAAAGTCTATGAAGTCTCTCAGGGTCCACAATACCCTCTTCCTCTTAAGAGCATTCTTGTCTATTTATAGTGACACATCCAGGTGCAAATTACAAAGAAATCTTACTGGTTACACTCAGGCCGATGCTGTCCTGCTTTAAAAGAAAATCGGCTGCTCGTGGACTTATCCAATTGTTTTTTCCAGTAACTGCCTGTGTATGTTGTTACAGAAGAGTCCGACCATCTTGTTTCCTTCTGCCAGGATGCTCCAGCCTTGCGTCTGATCAGATCGAACTCTCGAGAGGTGAGAGGGCTAAGGGGCAGAACGATCTGTGGAGTCAAGTAGAAGAAGTGTGACATAGCTATGGATGGCCTGCTCCGGATGCCAACTTTTCAAGCCCTCTGCATAATGGACAATTAATTTCCTTTTGGTTGCAAGAGGTAATTGACTGGGCTCACCAAACTTTGTAATTCTGACTCTCACAGAATGCAGAAGTTTAAGTCTCTTGAAGTTGCCAAGCAACAGATCACAGAATTCCACAAATACTAGCCCCTCCCCCCAAAAAATTTTAACTAGAAAATGTGTAAGGTATGTAAGTTTCTGGCCTTTGTTCTGAGCAACATACGGCTACAAGTGATGGCAAGAAAGCAGGTGGCTACTGCTTTTATAAATAAAACAGTGAATCCTAATGATGCTGGTTTAAGAGGTGGGAACAAGAGATAAAAGAACAGTGCCAAGCATTCATTTCTTCTGAAGACTGGGCTCCAAGGGTCTGGAAGCAAAACGAACCGTTTGTGATGTCAGCAAGAGCAAGTGACTCAAACAGTTTCTCATATGTCATAGAGCAATGGTGCTTGAGCTGGCTGCACAAGAAAGTCATCCCAGGAGCTGTTAAAATCAGCAGAAGCTCAGACCTCACCCACACCCCCAGGCCACCCCCATAGATTCTGATTTAACTGGTCTGGAGTAGGGCCCAGGCACTGGTATATTTTAAAAGCCGACTCCTGGAGAATTCTAAAGACAGCCAGGGTTCAGAATTAAGGTCGTTGAAATATCACTGTGAGCCTTTTTTAGGCTGAGGGATGATAGTATTCAATCTTCCATTCACATGATTTCCTCCATCCCTCACTAATAAATACTCTAAATCTGTGTCATTTTTTTGCCTGTCCTTCTCTGCAATAACCAACAATTCGCTGACAAATCAACTAGATCTTTCAACATTATCAGCTCTTGGAGCAGTTCTCAACCTTCAGTGCTCATGCACATAACCTGTGGAATTCTTTATAAATGCGGGATGTCATGCCTCATCTGGATCAGCAACTCTGCCAGTAGATCTATCATCATCATTTTAAAAAAAGCCGTCTCCAGAGGAGTTTGGATCAGCACCTATGGGCCTGTTAACCATGCAAAGACCTCAGTCCTGCCTTCGCAGACTACGTAGGTGTGAGGAAAAGCCCAGGAATCAGCATAAGAACATTGTTGTGTGATTCCGATGCAACCAATCTTTTGAATACTGGGAATACTGCTCCAGGAGCTGAATTCAAACAATCCTTTATAGTGAGGCTGACACACTACAGTCCATGTTTCTTTGAGAATAAAATTATTTATAAATAATTGGCAGTATTGGGGAGCCTGGGTGGCTCAGTCGGTTAAGCGTCTGCCTTCGGCTCAGGTCATGATCCCGGGGTCCTGGGATTGAGCCCCGCATCGGGCTGCCTGCTCAACGGGAAGCCTGCTTCTCCCTCTCCCACTCCCCCTGCTTGTGGTCCTTCTCTTGCTGTGTCTCTCTCTGTCAAATAAATAAAATCTTAAAAAAAATAATAATAATTGGCAGTATTTAAAATTAGGAGTTTCTTTCCTTAAAACTTTGCAATTTGGCACATAAGCACCTTCACCCTTGAAGAATTAGGCAGAGGTTTCAGATCCCAGCTGCTTTTTCCCATGGAATTGGGGCTCCTTAGAGAAATCCAGATCAGATAAGAAGATGGAGATGCAGAGGGAAGGAGGGGCCCCAAAACCCAGCTGCCCAGCTCTTTTAAACCCACCCAGTGTCAGGTAATAACAGTGCATATGCTCCAACCGTTAGCCATTCCAGCAAAAATCATGGTTTTAGAGAAATCTCTGCTAGCAATATATATTACTTTGAGACAGGAACACATATAGAACAGATTGTGAAAGATTATTTGTAGAAAACATTTTAAAATCTTCTTCTTAGGTTGTGTGGCAGTCTATAAACAAATATGTGATAAAATAAGCTATTTAAAAAATAAGTTATGGCATAAGTGTACTTTATCATCACATTCCTCTCCTTTATATTATTTTTATTTCTTCTTCCCAAATCAATTATGGCATCACTTTAACAACTATAACCTCAAGAACCAAGCGTAGTGAGGGGCGCCTGGGTGGCTCAGTCGGTTAAGTGTCCGAGTCTTGATTTTGGCTCAGGTCATGATCTCAAGGTCATGAGATTGAGCCCCACATCAGGCTTTGCACTCTGCGTGGAGTCTGCTTAAGATTCTCTCTCTCTCCCTCCCCACCCTCCACCCCTCCCCCACTCACACACGTGCGCTCTTTCTCTCTCTCTCAAAAAAAAAAATGACTCATTGGGTTTAGGTGGAATTATAGCTTACTTCATCAGATGTTGAACAAGCCTGTTAAAAATAAGTCCAACTTCAAATTAGAGAATAAACAGAACAGATTGACTGAATTTTTTATCATAAGTATTTAATCTGTAAAATCCTAGAATTCTAAAGAACTTTGCACTCATTCTATGTTCTCATTTGATCAGACGCTTCACTCCTCTTGGACATTGATACTCAGCGCTGATTTGTATGGTCTGACTTCCAAGTTGAGAGTCTAAATCCTCTAAAAGCCTCCTTTTGGAACTGAATTATGGCAAGCTATGTTGTTCAGTCCCTGGTATTTCAATGTGAAGAAAAACTAATCAAGAGCACTAGGACAATGAACTCTGGATTGTGAGTGAGATTTAGTGAAAACAAGCTTCCTGAGAGTGACCTCATACTCAATAAAACCAGCAGGTGGCGCACTGGCTGGTGGGTAGGCCTTGACCAGGCTTTCAAGCATAAGCTGATTATTCTAACGAGGTGTTAATAGGTATTAATTAAAAGAGTGACATGGTTAAATAAGTTTAGGATGAGTTGGAATAAACGTGTTTCTTTGCTGTAAGATTTAGAGCCTTTGATATTTCAATGTGCACTCTGAATCTTTCAAAGGGGCCTGGATAATGAGGCACTTCCTAAACTTACCTGACCACAAAACTCCTTTTGTGGGGTGGGAGAGCATCTCTGGGTATTGCCCTTCTATGCAACGGTCCAGGAACTGAAAAGGCTAGTGGTCTCTACAGCTAAGACAATGGCTGGTCTGTAGTCTCTGGAATTCACTAAATATTGACTAGATCTCCAGCTAAACCACAGACAACCTCACAAGAGGGTAGATCAAGGCAGTATTTTTCTTTTTTAATTGAGATATAACATCAAACAGGAAGGTACACAAAAATACATATGTGTACATCCATGTAATTCTTGTCCCTTTCCAGTCAAAACAGTAACGCATGCGCGGGTGCGCGCACACGCCCCTGTAACCACTCTTCCCATTTCGATCACCGCGGACTAGATGTATCAGCTGTGTTCTGTGGAGGCAGAAACGTACTGATGCCATTCCAAGATGAAACCAGGAGGAAAACAAGTAGTATAAAGGCCAGAAAAAGCAGAATTCCCTTGAGAAAAAAGATCCCATATGAAGCTAAAGCTTCCATCTCAGCAAAAATCTGTCTCCTCCCCACAAGGTGCCAAACTGTGATATTTGGATAAGTGTAGCCAACAGCTGAATGAGCATGCATAATGTGTTATAGTTAATAACTGTTTGAGTCTGTCAGTTATAATAATATTAATTCTCAGTCCTTGATCTTGGAATACTTTCTTCATATTTATCAATTCTGTGATTTGGAAATTTTTATTAACTTACTCATCAAAAACCTGGTCTAAAAGACACAGGAAACCAGTTGCAACAGGACTAGATGGAAATAAAAGAAGGGTAAAGTGCAAAGGAACAGGAAAATAAAATGGATAAAATTAGTGAGGAGAAGCCTAAAAGGAATGCTCTTTTGTCTTTCCTGAAATTTATTTTTGGTTATGTTTATTGTTTGAAAACTGAAACTGATTGCAAACAATGTATACACTGTGATCCTGGTTTGTTTAATAAAAATTATATAGGTGTGTATATTATTTATAAGAAAAGGCTTAGGGGGCTATATATAAAAATGTTAATACTTATAGCTGAGTGGGAGGATTACATGTGATTTTTATATTCTACATTGCTTTCTTTATTGTCTAAACTTTTTACAATGCATATATGTAACTCATAATCAGAGCCCAGATGTTATTTCACAAAAACAAAAACAAAGGGAATACATCCATATATAATCAACCTCTAAATCTGGCAAAGAATCTCTTTCAGGTTTACAATGATTTTTCTCTTCCACTTTTCTCTAGAGTCCAGGCCATTAAAACAAACAAAGAAACAAACAACTCTAGAGCAAAGAGATTGGAGTCAATTCAGTCAAATAGGACGTTTCTTAAACTTCCTCTTCTTCTAGTTCTGGGTCCAGTAATCAGAGGTAGGGAAAAAATAAGACCTATAGCTCTTTTAAGGGTGTGTATGGGGGGGGGGTGGAATAGTGGGTAAGAAAATAGGAACAGGAAAAGAGCATTTACATAGTAGACCCCAAAGTGATGAAACTTGAATTGATGGTTTCTGTTCTCCAAGGAAACCCTCTCTACACATAGGTACCCATAAGGAGGTAATTTAGAGAGTGTGCCCACACTAACAAACAAACAAAAAGACTCATGATAATTGAAACAAAAAAATGAGCCATAACAATGGCCAAGATTTTTTTGATATCCCAGTGGTACCTCCTGGGATCAATATCATATAATGATCCCTGATTTCTTCAGCTCGTTGAAGGAGAGGTGGGGCGGGGGGTAAGTAGACACAAGCTGAACTGGCCCATCTTTCCAATCCTACAAAATTAAGACTTCTCTGTATAATTCTGCTTGGACGACACTCTTCGTCTTAAATAGAACACATTATCAGGATAATCAAAAGTCATTTAGAAGAATATCCCAAAGGCATTTCAAACTTCTATTCTTGCTTAAGTAACCTGAGTCTTAGGAGAGTCTCATGTATATACTCGTAACTGGTGACAAGAGAGGCAAATTACTATGTTCTAGACCCTTTTCTCGGCCCTTTACACACAATCCTTTAATCCGCACAATGCTGTGATGAAAGTACAGGTTTATCTCCTCTTTGCAGATGAGGAAACCAATCCACAGTTTGTCCACTGTCACACTGCGAGGAAATGGCAGAACTAGAGCTGAAAGTCATGCAGTCTGAGACCTGTTGAGACTATTTTAGGCTACTCAAAACTACATCTCTAATGAGCTTTACTGTCTTCACCTGTTGTCCTCTACCCGTCTCTGCCCAACACCCCCTTCTTGCCCATTGTCTGGTCCCACACCTGCTGACTGCTTCCCTTCTCGTGAGTTCTGTCCGAAAGCATCCACAACAACCTGTATATTACTGACTTTCGTATTCAAAGTAACTTCTACTCAGAGACCCAATAAATGTACCCTGAAAAGAAAGACCAAAAAACCATAGTCTTCATTTTTTAAATGAACTATCTTATGTTCCTAAGCTGAG